TGGGCGGCAGTGACGGGCAAGGCAGCGGCGTGTCCGCGGCGCTCACCGAGTAGTAGTCGCGCATACTGGCGGGACCGGCGCGCGAAGCGGCATGCCGCGGCGGCAGCGGCGGCCCCAGCAGAGCTGCGCAGCAGGCGCCGAGCGAAAGCATCAGGCGACCTCCCCTTTCTCGTGGATTTCCGCTTGTCGCGCCAGGGGACGCCTCGCGGAGCGCCAGGTGATCTGTGATCTTCGCCGCCCGCGACGAGCCAGCATGGCTCGTCGCTCGACGGGAGCCTGCCCAGTATGCTCTCGGCATTCTGTACAGCCTCGCCAAGCTCTCTGGGAAGGTCTACAGGGCCAGGGCGGGCCGCCTCGGGCGCGATGGCGCGCTGAATAGTTAGTACCATGACTACGAGCTCTAGATCGGGTCGCCGGCAGCGGGCTTGCGCGGCGCGCTGCTCGACGGCAGGCTGCTCCCCACCCTTTCAACAGTGTCTTTTGCCTCGCTTCTCTTGCTGCAACCGCCTCCGGGGGCCGGCGCCGGCCGCCTCGCTTCGCCAGCGCTGTGCCTACGCCTACGACACGCGCTCGCCGCCCGCGTCGCCTGCGGCGGGCCCGCGTGGCGCGCCGCTCGTCGGGAGCGTGCTCAGCAGGCTGTGCAGCGCAGCCTGACTCACTCAGAGCGCAGCTGATGCGGCGTGGGGCCGCCGGCGGCGCTGCTGCCGCGCACCCGCACGCGCTGCGCTGTGGGTGTCACCATCGTGTCCTCGCCGCGTCGCCGACGCCACTTGGCGCTCGCCGCTGCCCTGCCCTTCCCTGCCATCGCGCAAACAAACACACACACACACACACACACACTCACACATTATTAATCATCGGGTATTAATTATTCATTATTAATCATCGGGCGGCGGAGCGGCGCGGCGTTTAAGCGGCGTAGGCGGGCGGCGCGAGGCGGCGGCGCGGCGAGGCAGCGGGCGACGCAGGGCGGGGCGGCGCGGCGGGGGGGGGGGGTAATTACTTATTTGTTAATTAATTAATAATTAATATTCATCGGGCGGCGGCGAGGCGCGGCGGGCGGGCGACGCGGAGCGGGGGGCGGCGAGACCGCATCTGTACTGAACGGGCCAGCTAGCTGGTCTTTGAGTCAGCGCAATGGTCGCGCCGCCCTCGACTCGAGGGGCTGCCTTCCACCCGTAGCTGCTCAGGCCGGGGGAGGGGGAGAGGCCCCCTGTTCCTCGCGGAACGTGCGGGGGCCGACCCCTTGCCCCGGCCTTCGATGCAGGGCGGTGGTCGTGCCATGGGCGCTTCGTACACAAACCTCCCCGCCGCAACCGTCGCCGGCGCGCGACACGTTCTCGTCAGCAGGACTGTCCTCGTCGAGTGTGTGTCGCCAAGGCGAGACACACTCAGGGACGCGGTGCCGACGGGACGCGGCTCGAAGGGCGTGGCTCCGCAGCGCGGCTGGGCACTCGTCGCAGAGGCCTCGCCTTCGAAAAGTCGGGCATGGCTCTACCCGCAACTTTCTCGCTAACACGCGCGCACCGCCGAGCCTGCGGCGGGCGCGCTGCGGCCGCACGTCTAACTCCGTCATAGTGCCACGACGTGCGGCCTAGAATTAGCACACGCGCTACTGCTCGCAAACACTCACCCAATGAATTGTCATCACCCGTGAGTGCGAGTTAGGGCTAGCAGTAGGCCGCTAGCTTGTGAAGAGGGCGTCCATAGACACACCTCACTAGTGCGCAACTAGACCCCACACACGGTCTCGTCCGTGGAATCGTTTTGTTCGACGACGTCGAAAACACGTATAGCGCACCCGCCGGCGGCGCGGCGGGGATAAATGATACAACTCCCTGTACACCAATGGTACAATGGCAGTACTTGCCGCGCACCGCCGAGGTTCTCAAGCGCCCCTTCGGCGCTTCTCTGTGGCTGGCTTCAACGAAGGACGCGCGTCGAGAGCCGATGAGCGCATGAGCCGTACCGGCGCAGGGCGCAACTAGTCGCCGCGTCAAAGCTTTCGCGGAGGGTTAGGCCTCCGCGGAGGGTTTGCCCTCCGCCGCGGCGATGATGCCGCGCTCGTACGCGTTGAGCGACTGGCGCTTGAGGAAGCGCTGGATCAGGGGCGGCATCGACTCGTAGCCGCGCGGGAGGTTGAAGACGATGCGGAGCGTGAGGATCTTGATCATGGCCAACGTCATCAGACCGGCGAGGATGCCGACCTAAGGGAAAGTTCCGAGAGGGTTCACCGACATCTCCAGCGTCCTCTCCCGCGGTCCTCAGGCCGGCGACGAGGCCGGCCTCGATCTTGTAGGTCGCTGGCATGAGGAGGACGGTGACGACGGACGGGATGGCCTGCATGGTAAGGTAAGCTTCTCCACACACACGAGGTGGTGGGGCAAGGGGGGGCAACCCTCGCGACTCGCCTGCATGTAGTCATGCCAGTCGATGGTTCCGAGCCCCTCCGCCATGAAGACGCCAACCATGATCAGCGCTGGGCCTAATAGATGACTCATTACTGAAGACGAACGATGGACCAACTCATCGACGCCAACCACGATCAGCGCTGGGCCTACATGCAGCGACGCACCCGCGGACATGTCGCGGGCGTGTCCTGGCGCGCGAGGCGCGCATGGCCGTCGCGGGTGGGCCGGTGGAGAGTGTGGGGATGCTCCCAAACAGCGGCGCGAAGAACATCGACAGGAAGTTGAACAGGGCGATCCAAAGCGCCGTCAGCCCTGTGCGGCCGCCCTCGTAGACGCCCGCCATCGACTCGCCGTACGTGGTGACGGAGCTGGTGCCTAATCTCGGGGGCAATCTCGCCTAATCTCGGGGGCAATCTCGGCTTGACCTCGGGGCCTATCTCGGCTCGGCTCGAGGGGGGTGGCGGAGCTGGTGCCCAGGATGGCGCCGAAGAAGGTGCCGATGGCGTCGGCCCAGAAGGCGGCGTAGCACCCCTCGAAGGTCCCTATGAGAAAGTTCGAAGAAGGCGCTCGTCGACGGTTCGCAAGACAAGGCGGCGTGGCACCCCTCCGAAGGGCTTAAGTGCCCGTGGTTGGGTCAATCAGGCCCGAGCAGTCCGCCGCGGCGTAGAGGAAGCCTGCGGTGTGGATACGCCGAGGTCAGCGTGTGAAGACGATATTGTGCGCAGCGAATACGACGAACGCCGCTAAGAAGACTGTCGAATACCGCTGAACAAATGTCCTCTAGGGAGCTCGTGAGTCGGAAGACACAATATTACACAGATCTGTCTCCCGCTTCTCGAAGGCGCGCGCCCATGGTGCCGAGGAAGTCGACGTACAAAAGGACCTGTTCGCAGGTTTCTCATATGCTGCCGGGGTTGTCTTTTTCTCTTTTTCAGGGAGTGCAGCAGGACCAGGAGCGGGATGCCGAAGTTCTGCATGTCGAGGTCGCTCGTGTCGAAGGCCCAGACGGTGCCGCCGTCCACGTTCCCCGCGAGGCAGGAGCAGTCCCCAGCCTCCTACTCGTGGCGAGTGGCAGGGCTGGTTCGCCGCCCGCACTCACACACCCGACACAAGCGCGAAGCCGACGGCTCCTCGCCGTCGGCGGTGCAGAGCCCGCCGGGCAGCTCGGCCGAGCTATTCGTCGCCGAGCATCCGAACCAGCCCGGCCAGGCGGAGACGATCGCGCCCGCCAGCTTTGCATATGGCGCCTCCGCCACCTTGCTTGGGGCCTAAGGGAAGGTATGGTCGGGTAAACTTCTTCACACACTCAAGGTGGTGGTGGGGCAAGGGCCAGGCTAGTCCCTCGCGACTCCACGTCTAGACGAGAGGAGCCGCACGGCATTGTAAAGAGAGAGAGAGAGAGAGAGACAGAGAGAGAGAGAGAGAGAGAGAGAGAGAGAGAGAGAGAGGGGAGAGAGAGAGAGAGAGAGAGAGAGAGAGAGAGAGAGAGAGAGAGAGAGAGAGAGAGAGAGAGAGAGAGAGAGAGAGAGAGAGAGAGAGAGAGAGAGAGAGAGAGAGAGAGAGAGAGAGAGAGAGAGAGAGAGAGAGAGAGAGAGAGAGAGAGATTTATTAACCAACAAGAAATCACGACTCTCACAGCTCACAGTGGAGACCCGTGTTTAATTTACGGCCCTTTCCCTGCGAACGCGCACCCGCACGTGCTGCATGCCACCTCGAAGGCGCTGTCGAGGTTCGCCGAGCGCGGCGCACTTTGGGGATAAAGATAGGTTGGACACTCCGACACCGTTCACCGACGAGCGCGTTGGACTTTTCACTCCGGACGGCTTCCTACTAACACGCTCACGGTCACGCACACACATAGGGGGTAGACAGCGTCCTAATCTAAAATCTGAGGATTCAGGATTGAGGGCTTGCTTCAGTGAGGCCAAAGTGAGTTTATGGATGTGTGAGAACGGTGCGGGACATGAGGAGTCACGCGGACCGACTCGTCGGTGACTCTGCTGCACGCCGTTTCAGAATTTTTCTCAGCGTGAGCGAGACGTGGAAGAGTGCCACCGTCGGGTAGGAGCTGGACGGGTCGGCCCGGAGTATCAGAGTAGCCGTCGTGGTCGCGGCGAGCAGCGCCGGCCACTCCGGCGCCGCGTCGGCAACGTGGGAGCAACCATGTCCACCGCCACTTCGCGGTCGCAGCGCTGTTGTCGCCCAAAACGCCGCATGTACCTCTGGCGGGCCAAAGATCGACTCACATGTCGATTTCGACATGACGGGCGCATGCAGGCATCAGCCATCACGTCTCCATGCGCCCGTCAAGTCCGAGCCAGTCTGCGGCGACCACAGCACTCGCAGTGTTGAGGTACATGCGAGCTTTTCAGAGTCAAGCGATTGCGCGAAATCCCAC